AAAATAACATTTCAGTTACAAACCTGCAAAGAAAGTCCGATAAGTGGGTTTTATAAATCTTTTGTAGTCTACTCACATTCTGGTCAGAGAAGTATCATCTTCACCACCCTCTTACTGAACCCTGTAACTCACTTGTATATTTATTCATCCAGTGAACAAGCATTTGTTGAATGGCTTAGTATGCCCTAAGCTTCTTGTTCAAGGATAGGGCACTAGAGAAAGTAAAGGTGCTCTGCCTCAGTCTGGTCTGCAGATAAATGTAAATAGACATTAAGTCTGCCAAAATAGGGCCAAACTCCAGCATCTCCAAGAGGCCAAGTTGGTTCTGGGATTCTGGTCTGCTTCAAAGCTTATCCTGATCTAGCATGACCATAAGTCCCAGTTTGCCCACTATAGTCTAGTTCATGTTTCCATGGAAACTCAGGAGCACCACCAAGCACTATCTGATGTGTCCCAGTTTGAATACTAAATTATCTGGTCACACTTGCCTAGTTCGAAGTTAATCTAAGAGGACAAGTCTCAACCTTACAGGCCAATCCTCCTTCGTGTCTCTTCTTAGAGCAGATCTAGGATCCTAGTAAGGTCCTTGAGTTTGACAACCATAAAATTGCCTGACTGAAAATCTCTAAGGAGACAAGAAATACCTTAGAATTCTTTCAATTCTACCAAAGGAAACTAGATCATGGGGGAGGGGAATGTGCAGAGGGAGAGGGACGACCTGGAGGAATGACAATGCAGCAGGACACCAAAGGCGCACAGGCAGAAAGATTTGGTGCCAAACTTATGCAAACGTGGAAATAATGTCATTCTGCTTGTGAAGCTGTAATAATTTACCAAGTAGAGAGCAGTTTTGATACTTCCAAGTCTGACATACCCAAGGGCACATACCAGTAAGACTATTTCAGTTTGTAAAAGTTTGAAATGGTTTTATCCTGAGTAGTAAATAGCCATAGCAGAAAGAAATTTGGCAATTTCACCTGACTGCCCACTCCTCCTCCAGGCCATGGGACATCACACAAGCCAATATCTTGAGGTTGAACAATTGGCCTCGCTGGGGAATGTGCAGAGGGAGAGGGATGTCACGGAGGAATGACAATGCAGCAGGACACCAAAAGCGCACAGGCAGAAAGATTTGGCGCCAAACTTATGCAAACATGGAAACAATGTCATTCTGCTTGTGAAGCTGTAAGGAGAATAATTTACTGTCATGCCAGTGGTAGCTTAATATTGTAAATACCAACCCTGGATAATTCCATAGCTACTTCAGCAGAAGGAGACTGGAATGATTCAGAACATGAAAGAGAAGAATAGGATGTAGAAACACAAATGACTCTGAACAGGCAAAACTGCAAGGCAGATTCTTGAGGAGCTGTGTCTCTGAGCTGTGAGCAGCTTGTCATGCTTGGGACCCATCGTTTCCATCATTCTGTGTCTCCAAGGCCAAAGCCTTGCTCTTTTCACTCCCCAAAGGCACCAACCTTAATGCTCTCCCTCCCTTTCTTTCCCTCTCTCCACTCTCCCCATCATTGCTCAGGACTTAAGGAAATTTGACAGCAGTTGCTGTCACAGTCATCACCGCTATGTCCTCCCATGTGCTAGCTCTATGGCCAGTAGTTGTCAATAAAGCATTCCACAGCACCAGATTTGATGCAGGCTTTATAAATTCCAGAGAGTTTTCTGCCAACCATGCATTGCCTTAAAAAGGATGATACAACAAACAAAATATCATACAATTTAAATGTTCACAACTAAGGCTCAGGGTACATGTAAAACATTGATCTTCTTGAGAAAATAACAAAAAGTTAACTCCACTCAAAGTGCACTTGCAAGCCAGGGACAATTCACATTGGTCCAGGCTGTAGTGTCAGTGAATCCCCTCTGCTCTGGAGAAGTCTAATAAAAAAGACAGGGATCCCCGGTTCCAGTATAGCTATTTGCTTGATGTAGGACTTGGATGAGTCACTCACCTTTTCAATATGTCCCTTTTCTTGTCTGTGAAATGAGTAAATAATATGGTCCCAACTTCCTGAAAGGATTGTGATGGGGGAAGGGGTTACATGAGAGAAAGGACATAGAAATACTACGGGAAACCAAGTTCTCTCCAAGGATGAGGGATTATTGTTAAACCCGTAGGCCATGAGAGCAAAAAAATTCACTTGCAGTAGATACATCCTTGGCTCCAGACCCAGCATCCCAGGAACTGTGAGTACAAAGGTAAGAGAAAGGCAAAGCAGAAGGAACTCCATTGAGAATATGGGCTTGAAAACAATGTGTGTTATGCATTGAGAATTTGAGTCTGAAAATAAGCATTTTCAAGACTTTAGACATAGATATAAAACAAAACAAAACAAAACACTGCCTTACATTATAGAGTCAAAGAGAATTCTCTTATCATTCATATTTTATGAAAATTATTTTGTGATTAAAATCGAAAAAATAATAATAATTGGGCAGACTCAGTGGCTCGTGCCTATAATCCCAGCATTTTGGGAGGCTGAGGTGAGAGGATTACCTGAACCCACAGGTTCAAGACCAGCCTGGGCAACTTGGCGAGACCTCATCTGTACAATAAATCAAAAATTAGCCACGTGTGGAGGTGCGTGCCTATAGTTCCAGCTACTTGGAAGGCTGAGGTGAAAAAATCATCTGAGCCCAGCAGATGGAGGCTGCGGTGGCCGTGAGCAGCATGCCACTGCACTCCAGCCTGGACGATAGAGTTAGACTCCAACTCAAAAAAAATAAATATAAATAATAATAATCAAAATTTTTGAGTTATGCTCTATTTCATCCTATAGAAATTCACTTTCTATAGAAGTGACTAGAGATAGTATCCCTCCTTATATAACTTTTCTCTTCTTCTATATTTCTTCCTTTTCCTTTTGAAGGGATGGATTTGCTAACCATTATCTATGGGGGGAGGGCAAAACTTTCTTCAAGAGTGGTTTTCTGTTACCACCCAGAATCCTCTATCAAGATTTTCTTGGTCATCTGTTTCTGCTGACCTCCAGGTGCCTCCAGATGCTCAAATATTCGGACTCGAGAGATGCTGCAGCCTGCTGTGTGACCTTAAGTCAGTCACTTTTCTCTTGAGGCCTTGACTTTTTCAGCTGGAAAGAAAAAAGATTACTCTTTCTCAATGTTAGCAGGAGTCTTCCTGAGAACTCTAGATTAGTGTAATACCCTGGATTGTGTTTCAGGGAGGCACAGATAGGATTAAAGCCAATAGTTTCCAACAAAAAAGAAACCAGTCCCTAAGGATAAAAATGAAGTACCCATTAGTAGGTGTTCCCCTGTTCCGCTAAAGGTCACTACCCCCAACCCAGAGTCCTCAGGTCTTTGGAGTCCTGAGATCAAAGCTCGCTGGGACTGTTAGTGTGAAGAGACAAATCTGTCCTGAGTGGGCTTCCAGAAGCAATGCTTTTACTGGAAAAACAGCAGGAAGTATGACAGATCATCTCATCAGCTCACCCTTCAAGCTAGCATGTACCTTAAATAGAATTGAATTTTTCCTCTACATGTTTGAAAAATATTCATTTTACATTAATCTCCCAACTTATTTTACTGCTAATCTTCATACACTAGAGCAGCTGTTTCATGCTTTTTCATTTTTCTTGCCATTACTGAAGTAGAAATTATGGAGGAAGAGGATTTACGGATTTGACTGATAAAAAATAAACAAAAACCCAGCGCTTTACTCATCATTTCATTCTTTGAACTGTTTTTCTCAGTGGCTTCTCCCATTCCAACTTCCGCTTAAATGTATTAGACCCATGTCCTTTAAGCTCGGATTTTCATTTTTTTAATTCCACTTCAGTTTCTTTATGTAATCTCAAGCTCTTTCTTGGAGCTGTTAGAGAAATTTCCCTTCTCCCTCATTTAACACATGAGAAAACCCACGATGCAAGGGGATTAAATAGCTAGAGATGAGATAGTGGCCAAGTTCAGGCCAAGCACCTTGCCACGTGGGTAAAACTTCACACTCTCCTTGAGAAGCATTCACTGAGTAACAGTTTAGCAGATAAAGTAAGCTTTATATATAAGTAATTCCCTACAGACATTAGACTGTATCTTAAAAAGAAAAATGAACTAGGAGACAAAAAAGTCTGCCAATAAGGATGGAAACTCTGCCCAGGACATTAGTAACGCACACCTGAAGACTGTTATTTGACATTCTTCTGATGTGTCATTAGGACAACAGTGATCACCATGAGCTAATATTTGTGAATGCCAGGCATTCTTTCAGATACTATTAGAGAAGGACGGTGAAGATTCTCAAAGGTTGATCAAGCTCTTATGGACTCATATGGTTAATGACCATTACATTACTGTGATTGCCAATGGTTTGGGAAGGCCAAGCAAGGCCAAGTGGAGAGAAGGGTGGTGCTACGACACAGGTGACCTAGGATGAGCACCTGGTGTCTCTACCTCCATGGAAATATGGCCAGTCCTGGGCTATCTCGAGGAAGTAATAGTACTCAATGTTCCTTAATAAACACAATTCTTAATCTGAGCAAATAAAAGCCACTGGGAATGTCTACATGCTCTGAACAGGCCATTTTCTAAAAGCAGCTCTGGTATATAACTATGTGTACTTAGTTAACTTTTGGGGAGTTATCTTGCCGTTGCTGCCTTCAAACCTTTAATATGAAGAAAGCATCTCTCACCACACCATCACCTTAAACTGTTAGGCCTGCCTAATAGCCTGAGCAAAGTTAATGGATGAAGTCCCTGGAGAGATTTCAGGAGTAGAGCAAGCAGGAGGCCACTATCCAAAGGAAGACAGAGACGTTAAAGCTGTTCTTTTGCTTTATGTTTTTTTTTACCTTAATGCAATCTGAAATCAATGTTTAAGATACAGATCAAGTTCTTTTTATACTTGGCTTAGACTCTTTTCCTTTTAATTGTCACCCTTCTACTAAATCATTTTTAACCACTTCTCTTAATAATTCTTAGCCACTCTAGTCCATTCCTTAGGAATTTCAGAAATGATTCAAAATCAGTACAGTAAGGAAAAAAATATTTATTTTCTAAAGTCATTACCTTGACAGGCAAAACAAAGCATTTTCTCAATTTCATTCAGAAATACATTTTAAAAAATACATAGACCAATATGGCCTGTCCAAACAGATATTTAACACGGTAAACATAAGGAATAAATTGTTTGAATATAAATATCTATAAAAAATAAGTACATCAAATCCAACCTCTTCCATTAGCCAGTTATATAAAGGAAAATCATTTTTCCAGCTTTAAAGCACAACCAGCATTTACTTGCCAATACCTTTCATAAACAGTCCCATACCATTGTGTTTCCAAAAATCAAGGTAAGGGAATCTCCTGATTTAAAGATTCTTTTTCTTATGGATCAGAGCTAGTAGATTACCATGAATAGATTATATCTACCGCTGACACATTAGAGCAGACTTCTATGAGGCTAGAATTTAGTATAAGGATTTAGAGGAGGGGGCAGCAGGAAGGGAAAGATTTTAGGAAGGCAATATTTAAAGGGGGGAAATACTTCTGCTAGAGTGCAATACAGGTGAGGTAGACTCATATTCATGAAACACATCCTGATTTACAGTAGTAACAGTTTCATTCAGCTTTGCATTTTATGAATTTTTTAAGTCTTTTTTTTTTAACTCATGTGTTTGTCTTTCGAGTGTGTTTTCAATTTGTGCATTCCTTAGAAAATCTTTGAGTGGACTTTGGAGTTTCTCCCTGAAATGTGCCAGGCGCCTGAGTCAGACACAAACACTCCCTTAGGACGGTCTTCAGAAACTCCACCCTCATGTGGAATCTCCTTCCTCCTTCTGGAAGATGCCACCCAAATTCGAATGTTATTATGTCTTTCCGCTTGCTCTCTGAGAGGTCCATTGTCATTCCCAGGTGAAAGAAAAGACAAAAGCAGTTACCACGGATGGGATGAAAGCAAATTAAGACAGCTTGGGGAAACTTCTTAACCTTTCTTGGAATGTTTAGAACAAAGACACTGTCCTTTGCCAGTCTGGAACAAAACATGGTCTAAGCAGGGAGGACACTCCTGCTCTGATCCCAGCCAGCATGGAGGGAGTACAGTCAGCCATACAGCTTTCTCCATGAAGGCGATGGCTTCAGACAAACCCAGAAGACCTGTAATCAATGTGCTCGGTTGTGGGTCACTTTCTGCTCTTTGTAGAGCTCGGCTTTCAGTTTTGCTACTCGAAAAGATGTTTTGATGCTGTTGCTGATGGCCTCCAACCTATTAAAACAAAATAAAACAAAATTTTTTTTAAGTCACCCCTTGGCAAAAGAAACTTCTAAAATTAGAATCTGGCACAAACAAATCTAAATCAAGTCCTGAACTTTTACCGCCAACTGCAACTCCGATAAAACCTCAAGTGGTATCTATTACCATTGTGAAAACAAAGCCTGTCCCTTTGCTTAGAATGGGAGAGAGGGTCATATGATCAAATCTAAGAGGAACTGGGCATTATTTTAAAATAAACTAGAGATATTCCAGTTTTTCTTATAGTCCCAGCCCAACCTCCACCTCTGTGAGACTCAGCATGGATCAGCTCAGCATAGATTTCAAATAGTCATAAACATCTTCTTAAGGCATTGATAGTGACTTGGAAAGAGAGAGAGAGAAAGGAACAAAAGAGTAGGCCTAAAGTAAATACCTTATAACAATTTTTTTAGAAATTTTCTTTTCAGACAATGTTTTCTTTATTGCAGGAGAAGAGAAGAGGAAAGAACTGTAATGCTGATTTAATAGTTGATATAATATAAACAAATAGAAAACAAATAATTTCCAGGTCAGTTCAGAAACTGTGATCTTGTCAGGAGCATTATTGTCCTCAGATCATAAATATGGAAACCATATACTATAATAGCAGATGTGAAGGAGCAGATAGTTAAGGCTGTCCCACAAATCAGCAGTAAACAACTCAGAAGCAATTCATGACTGCCAGACCTGTGCTCAGAACACTTAAATCACAGAACTTCTTGCCACTGGTTTTCTAGGAATTGTTTCTATAACCCTTGATAGGGAAATGTAGAACATGTGACATATCTGAAAGTAGGTTTCCTCCCTTGAGAGCTTGTGAATTCCAAAGAGCTTAGGATTTAGAAGAGCAACCCTGGGGTGTTGTCCAATACAGGTGCCTTCTCTGTCCTGGCGCATGACTGATTAGAGCTCTTTGGAATGACATTGACTTTCTACCAAAAGCATTTCCCTATTTAAAAAAAAAAAAAGATAATAAACCTGAACAACAGCATGTTCTAAATCTTACCAACCCTACCTAATGACTTTATTTTACCTTTGGCCATTTGGATAACTGCTACTTTTTGAAGAACTTTATACATGACACTTTGATTTTTTTTTAAAAGAAAATTTTCTCTTCCTGAAATGATTTTTAGTTTTTCAGAGAAAGTAGTTCATACATTGATTCAGCAAAGTAAAGACTGGGTATGACTAAATGACAAAGGTGTCTCTAGATATATGTGTTTTTGGAAAATCTGCATGTAGACTAAATGGTATGTGCTAAAAGTACAGAGGGCAGGAGTCTGAATTTGATGACTTCATAAAAATATTTGAGAAGGAATTTTTTTGCTCATCTTAATCTACAGAATACAAAGTTCCCCTTCGTTATTGTCTCCTGCATCTTTTCCCCACCCAAGTAAGAAAGACTGGGGGAATAGGCCGTGAGCATTGCTGACCAGGGCGAGCTATTCTTGAGAATCTCTTACCTTCTGATTTTTCTTCCTTCCACTAGCTGCTGATAAATACACTTCTTTCCAAGCGTGGTGCAGTCTTTTCTTTTCTTATGGCTATTCCAGCCTTTCTCCATAGTGTCCTGGACCCTATTAAAATACATGGGGGAAAATATTTCAGCAATGGTATCTTCAGTATTAGACTGACTTTCAATCTCTGTTACTCTGTCTAAAATAAGAAGGCAGCATTGTAATAGGAAGAAGGTCAGGAGGTTGCTAAGCTGATGGAAAAGCAAAGCTGTTTCTACTCACCTGAGTTCTTTTCCTGCTTGGCAAAAATTCCAGCACTTCTTGTCTTTTTGGCTAGCACATTGGCATCTATTCCTGTGGTCTGTTGCCTTTGTAGTAAATAAATCCTTCAAGGCTCGCTTGGATCTAGAAGGACTTCCAAGTCCATATGGAACAACATGCCTATTATTCAAAGAGAAACACAAAATACATTAGCATAATTAATAGTCTTCAAAATGACACATTCTTCGGGGCACATTCATTTCACTGGGCACACAAGGAGCTCATCACACAGGGCATGGGAGTGTAACTTAGGAGCGTGAAGTGTGGCAATGGCCGGAACCTGTACCCGGCAGTGGCCCTGATAGTGTGTAGCAAACCAGGAGAAAACCAGTGTTTCTAATTCAATGAAAATCCGTTTCCACGCTCAACAAAGTTCACTTTTCTTCCTGACACAAGCACTGTTGTTTTTTGTCCAAAATTATGACATCTCTGCTTGGTGTCTGTTTTGTATTTTCTTCCTTTTCTAATGGTCTGTTTAGTTAACAATTATTTGTGGGGCAAAGGAGGAAGGGACGTCAATGCAAAACTATGACTTACAAGGTTTTTAAAACCCATTTTCAATTCCAACCATATACGACAATGCTGAAAGTGCTCCCTGGAGGGGCAGGAGGAGACACGTGTTCACACGTTTTCCCTGCAGTTTGGTGCTATCATATGGCTGTAGATGGGCTCATTGCCAGAGGCTTCTCCAATAATTTCCAAAGTGTCTGATTTAATTATCATCTAAGGAGTGAAGCCCTCTCCTTGGAAGTATCACCTTACCAAGTGTTAGGCTCATTGTGGTTTGTGGTTGGTTTGAGTTGATTTTGTTTGGCTTTTGGTCATCCCTCACCATAATGGGCCCATGTGCACACAATAAATATGTAGGATTCTCTGAGGGACGAACTAGGGTTAGGGGGAAAGGCAGAAAACTGCTTTTCCTCACACTGGAGGTGAAAGATAAACTTCTGGGTGGTATTTCTATTTCTGTTTCTGTCTTAAAATGGGCTTTTCTAAAGAGAAAGCCCAGAAGAGGAAGGAGATGCAGGCTCCAGTTCTAGCTCTGCCACAAACTTCATCTTGCACAAACGACTGCAACATTTTGGGCCTTAGTTTTTCTATAAGTAAAATGAAAAGACTGGATTATAACCCTCTACAATCCCGTCTGCCTCTCAATCTCTACCTTCCCAAGAGAAGCACAGGTTGGATTAACCCACCTATGACCTCAGCAAATTCTCTCTAACCCCCATCATCAGTTCCACTGAGGGAGCATTCCCTTGAAGTCCCCTCACTTCAAATTTCTCATCTGAAATGTGCACAACCTCCTAATCTGTCCTAGGTAGCCTGAGCCACAGGGCCTCAGAATACCCTCCCCTCGGTTGTCACAAACCAAGCTGTCCTGTTACATTCAAGAATGGAGGGGCACTGTCCCCACTGAGGCACTTTTATGTTGGCAGAAATGCTACCTTCAGTGTCCCCAGCCTCTGGTGAAGCCAGAGCTAATGAATGACTGGGGTTGCAATGCCCTCTAGAGACTCACTCGGGAGTATTGACCCAGATGATGTCGAGGTGACAGAAGTAGACACATTCTTTATCCATCAAGGACGAGCAGGAGCAGCGCTTGGTCCGGCGGGGCCGCCAGGGTGCACTGGGAGAGGACTTCTCTTCCCGGGGATCAGCGCCCGTGCTGAGCTCAGCGCCCAAGACTGCTAGGGAGAGAAAGAGCCGGTCAGTAGGAATGGGGGAGGAGCGGGGGGCTGGAGGGGGGGATTCCCTCAGAGGCCCAGAGACATGCTGGGTTGTGGTACTTATGCCTGATCTAGCAGAGCAGATAAAGCAGATGAAGAACACAGTCTGCCTTCAGCAAGAAAAACAAACAGAAAGAAAAGGGCTCTTTATGTCTTTCCTCCCCAACATGACTTCACCTTTACCCCCACCTTCAGGTAGATTATACAAATGCAGAGGAGACAATCTCTGAAAAGGGATACCCCTTGAAGCAGCCTTCAGGGAAATGCTTGCAAATGTTGTCTTTTGTAAATCTGGGTTAGCTTCTCCACGGAATTTAGTAGGATGACACAACCCACTGTGGCTTAAAACTGGCTGATGGCTGAAGATAAATAAATCACACTGCCTATGCCCAGCTTCAGGGCCACTTCTCCACTCAGGGATGGCCATCCATTGAGAGGGATACCAACACTTCATGCCCTATGTAGGGCACAGAGAAGCCAAGATAACATATACATCTTGAAATTAGGTGGGGGAAATGGTTGGAAAGAGAAATTAACTCTACGGTATTCATTTGAGGTGGGAAACTCCACAGAAACCAGTGACTTAAGGTGAAGCTGAAAAGTAGATCAGGGGACCTAGGGAAGGCTCTATGGATTTCGAAGTCAGAATCCCCAGTGGTATGGCTTGTGTGGTAGCCACTGCCTACCCCTTCCCCACTGCTGCCCTGCCTCTTCTACTGGCAACTTAGCCATGCAGCTTATCTGCCCAATTTTGTACATTTCAAATGATCAGAAACATTCCAGGATTTTCATTCCCTTAACATCCTTTCTCTTTAGTCAGGGTCATGAAAAGACAAAAACAGTGCATTGACCCTAAAGGGGGGGGGCGGGGACAGATGCACACACAGTGTCTAAATCCTTAAGCAGTCAAGAATTATCCTAGCTCCCCTCCCAAGGACAGGTGAACAAAACTGAAAGAGAGCTCACACTGTTTGGGGTGCCAAAAACCTGCCAAAAGAAACCTAAAGTCAATAATGACAAATTTTAAAGAAAACAATCGGCTTCACCCTGAAACCTCCTTGTGAGGGGAGGGTTATTCAACAGACTGTTGTTCTGCAGGTGATTTTACTGCTCAACTATTGCCTGAATGACTTGAATAAAATTCCTTGGCTTCAAGCTGGAATGTTTAAATATTTTACACATCAACACACTATTAAAACAGTGTTTAAATAACATCATATAAATTCCTATCTGTTCCATGTACCTGTGTGAACATATATATTGCAAGCATACCTTAGACTTAGACAAATTACATCTTGCTTATGCTCTTCTTGAGTTATTTATTAAAAGTCAAGGGAACATATTATGAAATAATAATAATAAGATAATGTTTTAATGCTATGCTATATTCAATTGTATTCAATAGAGAAATTTCGCACTTTTCGCGAGAAAACTTTAGTAGCTTTGAGCAACACATCTCAGACTCTTGCACTTTAAGCCTCACTCATAAAATGAAGGGGGAAAGCAGAAGCAAGAAAGACGTTAGGGTGGATAAGAAGACATTCACTTCCAGAGATCTACAAGTCAGCACGCCTACCTGTCTCTGACGCTCCTTGGAAAGCCACGAAGAGCAGAGAGAAAATCACGGGGAAAGAATCCATGCTGAAAAGGGGATCAAAAGCCTCCCGTGCACACCGGACCCGAAGGAAAACTAAGAAAACCAGCTTCAGCTGCCTCCAAGCGCTGCGAGGGAGTGAGCTCTCAAAGCGATCCTTCGGCCTCCGCGCCCTTTGACGGGTAGAAAAGGCCGCTCCGGCCGGGCGGCGGCGGCGGCGCGCGGGGACGCGGCGGAGACGGAGACCCAGGACCCGCTCGCCCGGTGCAGATGCAGAGGCGCGTCTGACTTGGGCAGCTCTCCGCCGGCTTTTTATATCGAACCCCGCTAGCGTGGGGGTAAACAGCTCCAACTTTCTTCCAGCCCCAGACAATGTTATTGTGTTATTAGTCACCAACAGGCAACGTGCAGCCGGAGATAAGGCCGGGCTCTAAAGGAAATCACTGCTAACTTCAGAGGCAGACGCCCGCCGTCTGACAATTCAGGGGCAGGGCTAAGAAAAAGAAAATACCCATTAGAGACCTTTGGTAAACCTGCCCGTGCAGGGCTGGAGTCTGCTTCCCCTTTGCAAAGTCTGCCAGCCCCGGAGTTCAAGAATCAGAAGAGGGACTCCAGAAAAAAGTCATACCATTGGTATGAAAAGTATGAGCCTCAGTTTAAATAGATTGTATTGTTGTGTGCGGGGAATTTTTTTTTTTTTTTTTTTTTATTGTTGTTCACTCCATTTTCCTTTTAAGTCTCTCCGATTCTAGTCTCGGTCAAACAAGGGACTGCTCTCCCTCTTCATTCCCCCCGTACCCCCCCCCCCCCCCGCACTTGGGGTCAAATTATTTTAGCAGACCAACACATTTTCCTCTTACTTCAAGCCCTCTCCCCCAAGTCTTTTTTTTTTTTTTTTTTTTTTGCTATCGTTCTTTGCCTCTATGAGGGAAAGATATGTGAGGGATTGACAAGGAAGGGAGACAAAAAAATAGAGGCTTTTCATGCCCATACCCATTCATGTCAATATCACTGATCAGAAGCCCCCTTGAGCCCTTTTCTGTGTGCACAATCCCCCTCTGGAGTGGTCCCACTGTCAATACCACCAATCTTAAGAAATGACAGGAGAACAACACCAGGGGGAGACGGAGAACTACAGGGGCTGATGTTTTAGTAGGACAAAAAAGTAAAAGCCTTGGTTTCTAAATGACAGAAGGAAACACAACCTGTATTGAGGACCCAGGAAGGGCAGAGAAAGGAGCTTAACCTAAGAAGAGGGGGTGCACTTCAGAATATTCCATTTGCTCCCTACACAGGGATATCTTTTCTGGGTCTTTTTTTTCTTTTTGAGGTGAGGCACTTCTTTATTTAGGGTAAAATGATTTTTCTTGTACAGGGTGACATGAGTGTGCAGTGAGGGTGGTATTGAGGAGGAAATGCCCATACTGAAAAAGGAATCAGATAATACCTCATATTTTATAATGTGCTTACACTTTCAAAACAATTTCCTGTCTATTTAACCTTGAAATACTCCCCTCAGATGCCCACAGGGCAGTTACTGTGCAGGTGACAACATGTTGTAATGAATACAGCAAAGCATACATGTATGATACTGGCTTTTTCAGTTAGTCCCATTTTTCAGATGAGAAAACTGAGCACCCAGAATTTACATGCCGCACTAAAGTTCTCAGTGTGTCCAATAAGATCTCTTGGATAAATTTAGAGTCTCCTCCCTGCACAGGATGAATTTACATCTAGTGCATGGGATACCATCAAGTAAACACCTCCTCCATCTCCTCATCTTGTTTTACTCCAATTTTCTTGGTTGAGGTGGCAGAATTCAACCACAGATCCATTTTTAAGACCCACACAACAAAGGAGGATCCCACGGAACCGTTTCTTCCGCCTCCGTGCTTACCCTTCACCTTCAGAATAAAAAGGACAGATTTTATCCCGACACCAAAGCTGTGGACTTGGACACACGTGACTCTGCAGACTCCCGGGAAGTCACAGTCCGGGAGACGGTAACGGTAGCCTGGCCGTCCACAATAAGGTCTCCGAAACGACCACTGCCGCAAGAGCTGGAGGCGAGGGAGAGGCAGGAATCCTTTCACACCCCCACCCACACCGACACGCAGAGATGCCTCCACCCAATCCCAGGGGCCTCTGCCTCTCCGCCCCCCACCCCCCCGCGGTATGCTTACCTCAGCCCAACTTCAGGGCCCAGGGAGGACACGGCTCCCCCTAGAACTGGGCAACTGCAAGTAGGAAGCCAGCTCTGCCGCCTCTGCTCAGGTTGGGGTGTCCTGACCTCCCGCCCCACAGCGGGTCTTGGGCGAGGAGAACTGATGTCAAATTCACAAGATGCAAGCTCTCCATTCCCCGGGCCCCCGACGCAGCCCACCAAGGAGGAAAGGGGGCCCGGGAGATATGTCTTGGCAGGGATTCCACCATCACCCCCTCGTCCCCCTACCCCCCACCCCACACGCCCACCTTTTTTAAACCCTCTGGCAACTTTGACCAAACCCTGGCAACAGCCGGGACCAACCTGTCGTCAGCCCCGCCCCGGAAACGGTCGCCCCGCTCCCCTCAGTATCCTCCAGGGTCCAGCCTGGGCTCCCCTTCAGCCTGTGTCCCCACCCTCTCCACTCCACCCCCACGGGGCTGAGGCGGCCCCTGCAGGTGTCAGCAGCGCCCAAGGATCAGGTGGAGAAGTGAAGCGAAATGAAACTGCCCACGCGCCTTCCCACAGGCCTCCCTCCCCTCCTGCCCTTTCTGTGTCATCCACCGAATGTAGCTGAGTTAGAAATACAAACCCCGGCCAGCTCTCCGACCCCATCAGGACCTTCTAGAGTTCTGTGAAGTAAATGGTAAGGAAGGATGCAGGAATTCAGACCTAGAAGGGCTCGCTCGTTCCAAGTATAATCTTGGCCCAATCTCTGAATCCTGACCTTCCAAGGTGCATGTGTGTGTGTGCGCACGTGCGCACGTGTGTATTTCCATGTCTGTGTCTTGGGACAAGGAGTAGTAACTGCCATCTCTGTCCATCTCTCCATCTCCACCTCTTGTAGCAGCTCCTTTTTCCTCCTGTAGAAGCAGAGACAAGTCCTGTTCAAGCCCAGAGAAAGCAGCTGGGGCACTGCCAGGTAACTTACTACTAAGAAATTTTTCCAAGATTCAAGGGGGGGGGGGGCAGGGAGGGCCCCAACAAACCAGTTTTACAAGCTGGAGGCCCCCACCCCTTCTCCACTTAAGGTACTACTAAAGAGGGGGGGAGGGAGAAGAAGAGGTTAAAAGAGCTGGACAAAGGAATTAATACGGAGGTTTTATAAACACAGAGGTACCCTCACAACCCCCACTTCACCCACCAACGAACTGCTAGAGAAAATTATCTTTCTATCCTCTGAGAGGGAAGGAAAGGGAGAGAAGAGTTAAAGAGGATGATGTTTCTCCTCAACAGAACAGTTTGCTGTGGCTGTTTTTGCTTTTAATGTTACAGCTGAACGCTGGAAACTATTTGATAAAGCTATTTTTTATGTATTTATTTCTGTATCTCTGGCTATGTGTTAATAGATATCTATAAATAAAACACCCTGAGCACCAGATACACGTATTACACAGTAGCAAAGTGTACTGTTTTTAGTACTCTTCAGCTTTGCTTTCTTAACTTTTGCGTAATAAAATTTGTAACTTTGCCAAGCCAGTAAAAATTTGGTGTGAGATGTTGTATTTAGCTCAGCAAAGATAACGCCGTTAGGTTGCTTGACAGTCACACAAATAATGGGAAACTAGTTTATAGTAGGCAAGGTGAGGCTATCCGTGTCACCAGTCCTGGTTCAATTATGCCTTGGTGACTGTTTTACATTTCCACTTTGTGCGGTGCTCTTGTGAAAAACTGCAGTACTGTGACACATTCCAGTCCTCCAGGAGCTATGAACAAACACAACTTCTCCTTACACTCCAAAATAAAAAGGTTGATTTAGCACAGGAAATATGGAGATGATTGGGACAGATCCATCTCATGCATTTTAAAAACATCTAATGTAAACAACTCTGTTTCCTTGACACTCAACCATAGAACAATAACAGATAGCAAATGTTTGTTTAAAAGAGTATGTTCAATTCTCTAACTTAGCATTTCCCAAAGGTTAGTCATTCATAAACCTGCATCACGCCGGGCTCGGTGGCTCAGCCTGTAATCCCGCCCCTTCGGGAGGCTGAGGTGAGTGGATTGCCTGAGTCCGCGGGTTTGAGACCTGCCTGGGCAGCGAGACCTCATCTCTACAATAAATCAAAAAATCAGCCGGGCGTGGTAGCGCATGCCTGTAATTCCGGCTACTCGGAAGGCTGAGGCAGAAGGATCGGCAGAGCCCAGCAGGCGAGGCTGCGGTGGCCGGGAGTGGCCACTGCACTCCAATCAGGACGACTGAGTGAGACTCCAACTCAACAACAACAACAAAGAATCGTAAACCTGCATCACAATTTTTTGCCATATATGTGCTATCTGTACATTTTTACTTAATATTTTTGTTTCAACTGACTTGTTTCTTTTACTTGAATAATTTTAAAAACTTTATATCTCTACTATCTTAAGCAATACTGTACATAGAATTGTTCATATGGTTAAAAATCAACATTAAATCATCATTTAATATCTGTTAAACATTTAATTATTGTATATTCAATGAGTTATTAGAAATAAAAACATTCATGCATGTATATTATATGCCAATACTGGCATGCTCACCATTCATAGGAAATACTGTTCCATCCACTTCAATGTCTTATGCCTTATTATGTTAAGAATTAAACCCTGGTTGGACTATATTAAGTGGCACATGCCTGTAATCCCAGCATTTTGGAAGTCCAAGGAGGAAGGATTGTTTGAGGCCAGGAGTTTGAGACCAGCCTGGGAAACACAACCAGACTCTGTCGCTACAAAAAAATTAAAACATAACCAGGTATGGTGACACACTCCTGTAGTTCTAGCTATTTGGGAAGCTGAGGCAAGAGGATCTTTTGGGCCCAGGAGTTCCAGACTATAGTGAACTGTGGTTGTGCCACTGCATTCCAGCCCAGGCAACAGAGGGAAAACCTGCTTAAGGAGGAAGGGGGAAGAGAGAGAAAGAGAGAGAGAGAGAGAGAGAGAGAGAGAGAGAGAGAGAGAGAGAGAGAGAGAA